GGCGGGAGTGCTGCCGCGCTCCCAAGCGGTGCACTGTAGCAGTGCGCCACTGGGCCGGCCCTAATTGGTGGATTTTGAGTAAAACAGATTACCTTCATAATGTGGATGAGCTTTATCCAATTAGTAGAAGGCCTTAATAAAAGAAAGACTGGCCTCCCAAGCAAGAAGTTATTCTGCCAGCAGACTGCCTTTGGACTTGAACTGCAACTGTTCCCTGGGTCTTCAGCCTGCCAGCCTACCCTGTGGATTTTGGGCTCCCCAAGCCCCCACAACTGTGTGAGCCAATTCCTTAAAATAACTCTCTCTCTCTCTCTCTCACACACACACACATATGCACACACAAATAAACATACACATTCTATTGTTTCTGTTTCTCTGGGGGATCCTGATGAATACAAGGGACAATCAAAAAGTGTTATAGAAGTATTGACTAAACAGTGTCCATCCAAAATTTATATGTTGAAGTCCTAACCCACATTAATTCAGAATGGTGACTAAATATTGTAATATTGTCTTTAAAGAAGTGATTAAGTTAAAATAAAGTCATCAGAATAGGCCCTAATCCAATCTGATGGGTCTTTGTCCATATAAAAGGAGATTAGCCACACTGAGGGAGACCCAGGGGCACATACACACAGAGGGGCAGCCATATGCATGGCCATTTGCAAGCCAAGGAGAGAGGACTCAGGAACCCAATCCTGCCAATACCTTGATCTTGAACTTCCAGCTTCCACAATTGTGAAAATATAAAGTTCTGTTGTTTAAGCCACTTCATCTGATGTTTTCTTATGGCAGCCCCAGCAAACTAATAGGAAATATACTAGGAAGTCACTTACTAAAAATAATATGTAATTGTCTTCAATTTGTGATGTTTGTGGTAGTTGCCAGCTTTTCAGGATGTGGAATTTCCCATGATTCCTTTCCTTGTTCTGAAAAAAATTTCAAAATTTCCCAAAGCGTAACCTTCAGGACCCACAAAACCTGCCTCTGCCCCTTCCGACAGCCACTTCTGCAACTTTTACTGCTTCATTAATACCTTAAAAATATTCTACTAGTGCATTGCCATATGGTTGTAAAATGATCTGTTTGTATGTCTGGACTGACCGCCACTAGACTGTGCACTTCTTGAGGACAGGCGCTGCTTCTTACCCATATTTAAATCTACAGGGGTTAGCTCGATGCCTAGCACATACATTAGGTGCTCAAGAAATATCTGATGAAAGAATGCATAAATGTACAAACAGATGCAGGAGTGAGCACTGAAAAACAGACGAATTGGGAGCCTGCCAGTCTCTGCAGGTATCACCTTTATTTTTAGAGTTCAAGTTCGACTGTTCACACTGTTTGAGTTCAACCGGGGAAAAAATATCCTTATGAATCTTCCAGCTACTGAATTGTGGTGAAAACCTGAAGCACGTGCAAAACCCGTGAGGAGAGCAACAACACTTAAACGTTTAATCCCCAGAGAGAACTTCTGGGTAAAAAACAAAAACAAAAAAACACTCCTACAATCAAAAGAGCCAAAAACAAATGAATAAAACAACCAACACAAAAAACTTTTCTCCACCCTATTCCTCCCCCCCACCCCAAAGTATCCTGGATATTTTACTATTGTGTTTGGATAAACATGTTTCCCCACATGACTTATCTGTTTGATTATGTGTTTGAATGGATATTTGAGAGTGTGAAATACAATATCCAGCAACCCTGTCAAATGCAGACCTTTTCTTGAAGGGATAAGATGTTTGAGTCTGAGATATATGTTGTTCAGAGGCCAGACTATTTTCTGTGAAAATGCAGCTCTGAATTACAACGAAAAACACTTGTGTAAAGAATCTGTAAACCATTCTAACTCATGTGTGTCTCCCCACTCCCTATTTCTAAATCTCTCTTGCATCTTGAGGGGAAAAAAAACCCACAACATTTTGCATGGTGTTTTGGGACCTTCATAGACCCCTTAATGCCATCCAAGGAGTCCTGTCCAGTGACCCCAGGTAAAGAATTCCTGCTTATGGCCAATCCCATAAGGAAATAAAAGAATGAGCTGGCAGCATGGTACGTGTGTGGGATACAAAACCTCCAAAATATTTGACAGTGTACCTAAAACTTTATCTAAGGCAAAACGTTTGAGCAAAACAGGAATTGCTAGAGGGAGAAAAAGATATTTAGAGTTCTAATTCCCAGTAACACTACCTTTGATTGTTGAATTTTGAGTTGTCAATGTTATAGGGGAAGATCTGGCAAAATTATGCAAGTCATTACGGTAAAAAATTCATTTCACAGACAGTGTTTTAGCAACATACCTTGTCCAAAGAGCTGAAGAGTTTAAAGAATTCATCTGCTAATAACATTGTTTATTTTAGGAGTAAAGTTAAGTATAAGGTAAATGGATAAATAAATCTCATTTAAAAGCAAATTTACACTAACCAAGATCACAAAAATGCAAATCTGTTAAAAATAAACGTTGTCTTTAATGTTTATTTCACATTATCTAAGTACATCCAGTTATGCAAATTTACATTTTTAATTCACATCTCTGCATTCCTGATATACAAATAACAGGACAAGGAACACATTAGAAATACTCAGCCTTTAAAACCCTGCTTGGGGAAAGCAAGATGCTCTCTGCTGCCTTATTTTTCTGCACAAATGCAAATACAATTCTAAATAATTAGAGTGGAAATCCAGACTGGTAAAAGAGAAAACTGACTAAATTTTTATGCCACTAGAGGTTATTTGTATTGATTTTTACCATGGTCTTCTAATGGCTGAATTTCAATTCAGTAGGTAACATACCTTTGGGAGCTCAAACTATTTCAAGAGGTTTAGTTGGTTGTTTCTAGAGCTCTTGGAATCTGCATGAAGTTGACACTAGCTACACCTTAATGATGCTTAAAAGTCGATCTTGTAGTGCTGAATTCACTTATGATATTTTAAAAATTAGTGGTAAATATTACCATCCCTCTTTTGTAAAAATATTTTGCCAGGTTAGAAAACGAGCAATTTCTTCAATTAGGCAAAAGAAAAGGACAGACTGGTACAATGCACAATACAGTACTAATTTTAAAGGAAACAATCACATCGAATTAAAGAATTTAACATTTCAATTACAATTTTACGAAATTCAAACATATTAAAATCACATTATGATACTAGATGACTGCCTGTTCATTTTGTTCAATGTTGCCCATAAGAACTTTTGTGTCACTAGTTCCTGGACTTGATTGACTGTTAAAATAGAGAGTGTTCTCAAAGGTGCCCTCTTGAGGTAAGTGCACACGTCTTTTCTTGTAAAAGAAATAGGCGGCGAGGCCAGCACCCATTAGAATCAGGAGGATCACAACGACCACTACTCCTGCCTTGCTGGAAGATGGTTTGGAAGGTTCCATCTTCCTTGAGTCAGCTATAAATAAATAAAATCATTAGGGAAAAAGGAGAGAGAGAGAGAGAGTTGAATGCTATGGACAATAATACTATTTTCCTTGCTGAAAAAACTAAAATGCATGAATATTCTTTCAACAGATATTTGTCAAACAGAAATGCAAGACATGAAAATCAGAGCCCATATGACTTAGAAGATTATTCAGAATGTTAAAATGATTACTCAGTTGCAAGAATACTTCATTTGTGTAGCTTTGAGCCAGTAAACCAATGTTTTTAAAATATGGATACCTTGTTTCAAAATAATTCAAGGCTGCTAACAAATACATTATAAGAAGGTAAATAGCACAGTAATAATAATGATGATGATAATTAAAAGCAAGTGAAAAATTAGGGAAAAGATAAAATGAGAGTAGTGAAAATATGAACTCATGGGCATAATTACTAAACAAATAGCACTCGTGAGGTTAATAAGGGGTTTACAGTCAAGCCATCAATCTCACTTTGAGATTCTTTTGCTGTCAAAGAAATGAGCGAAATAGGATCATCGACTTAATTCAAGTAGCCTATAAAACTTAAAATTAAAAACTGCTCAGAAAAGAAAAGAACTCACAAAAGTTCTTGAGAGACATCTCTTCCATGGCCACTCTTTGTAATAGAGCAAGTAATGTCTTCAACAACTTTTTATGGTACAAACACCAACCTGACTCCAAGGCCAGTTTTCCTAAAGTGTCATTTAAGGTAGGTTGGTGACATAATGCCAAAGGCTATGAATGCTTAAACAGTCCTACTGAGAGTGCAGGGAGAGCAGGAAGGGATCGCTGTGGCTTGTAAAGCAGACTGTACTGACATATTACTGACACTAAACTTGAAATTTCATAATGGTCTTACCTTTTGTTGTAACTGATGTATGAGTAGGTTCAGCATCAATAACTGTAAAAAAAGAGAAATTAATTAAATATTTTTGAAAATCCATATAATTGTATGTACTGAATAAATATTATTTGGTTCACAGATTTGTGGAACCCTCCATATTTGGTTTATAATGATATGATGTAGATATGATACTATGATATGATGTATGATGATATGATATAAAAAATCTTTTTATCTATCTACCTACCTACCTACCTATCTTCTATCTATCTACCTATTCATCTCTCTGTCTGTCTATGCTATAGCAGCATCCTACAGCTGTGTGGTGAGTTTGAATACATTGGAAGATCTGAAAATATGCAAAGTCCTCCAAGTTGCATTTGAGCCATTGATACTTACTCTTAAAAATCTACCCAATCTACACATAATTAAAATATTCTAGGCTAGTGGTTTTGAAATTGGCCTACTGAAGCCTAAGGTGTAATAAGGTATTTGAATGAAAAGTGAAATAAGACTCCAACATTGCATCGAAGGGTGAGTTGTCTTAGAACAGAGTTTTTTTAAAAAAAACTAAAGACCTGCATAATTCTAAGATAATAAAACCTACCAGGAAAAAAGTTGCTTTATCTAATTCATTTATTTAAATCTATCATCTAGGAGATAGAGGACAAGATGGCTGACTGGAGGTGCCCAGGGCACATCCCTCCCACAGAAAATGTCCAGAACAACTAACAAATGGCTAAATATTGACAGGAGCACCTGTGGTAGAGTGCAGGAGTGTACCAGGAGACTGGCAAGATCCCTGTGGAGCATGAAAGCCTGGAATGGAAGCATAGAGTGGAGAGAGAGGCACATGGCCTCAGTCACCAAGTCCCCACCACTGGGATCAGTGCAGAGGGACTTTCCCTTGCAGGGAAAAGGTAGGACAAGGGCCCACATCAATCCACATCCTTATCACAGAGACCTGCACTTCCTACTGCAGGAGGATTCCACAACCCTTGCAAACCTGGAGCCAAGTGTGGAGAGCAGCTTAGAATACATGCACTGCATTGCTCCATAATAGGAGCACACACTGTATGCTCCCCACCTCCCATATTCATGACCCAGGCCAATGCAGCATGGAGCCATCTTGAAACCAGAGTCACTGAGGGAGCGTTTCCTACCTGGGTGCCAGCAGGCATAGTTCCCCCCCAGCCTTAAGGTTCCCCTGCCATCCCAACATAGTAATACAAGAGGCTATAAGGCCCTGATCCCAATAGCTTGAAGGCTGGGCCCAGGAGTGATTGGCAGTGACTCCAGTCCTACACATTTGGAAAGCCAAACTTAAGCCTGCTGAACTGATACACACCCACATTCCTGGCCAGAGATCAGAAAAGCAATAACAAACGAAACCCAGAAAAAAAAAAAAAAAGAAAGGAAAAATCAGAGCAGAAATAAATGAAATTGAGACTAAAAATACAATACAAAAGATCAATCAAATGAAAAGTTCATTCTTTTAAAAGATAAGCAAAATTGCCAAACTACTAGCTAGACTAACCAAGAAAAAGAGAAAAGACCCAAGTAAATAAAATTAGAAATACAAAGAAGACATTACAACTGATACCACCAAAATACAAAGGATTATTACAAACTGTTATGAACTAGCATATGCCAATAAAGCTGAAAACTGGAGGTAATGGATAAATTCCTGAATATATATGACCTACCAAGACTGAATCAAGAAGAAATCATAATCCTGAATAGACCAGTAACAAGTAACAAGACCAAATCAGTAATAAAAAGTCACCCAACAAAACAAAGCCCAGGACCAGATGGCTTTACTGCTGAATTCTATCAAACATTTAAAGAAGTACTAGTGCCAATACTTCTTAAACTATTTCAAAAAACTTTAGATGACAGAATTCTTCCAAACTTATGCTATGAGGCCAACATTACCCTGATACAAAAAATAGGCAAGAACATGACAAAAAAAGAGAAAACTGCAGGCCAATATCTTTGATAAACATAGATGCAAAAATCCTCAATAAAATGGTAGCCAACTGAATTTAACAACACATCAAAAACATTATACACCATGATCAAGTGAGATTTATCCCAGGGATGCAAGGATGTTTCAACATACACAAATCAATAAATGTGATACACCACATCAACAGAATGAAAGAAAAAAAAACATATGCTCATTTTGTTAGATGCAGAAAAAAAGCATGTGATAAAATTCAACATCTGTTCGTGATAAAAACTCTCTACAAATTAGGTATAGAAGGAAAGTATCTTAATACAATAAATGTTATATATGACAAACTCACAGCTAACATCATATGGAATGGGGAAAATCTTTCAGCTTTTGAGAACTGGAATATACACAAATCAATAAATGTGATACACCACATCAACAGAATGAAAGAAAAAAAAAACATATGCTCATTTTGTTAGATGCAGAAAAAAAGCATGTGATAAAATTCAACATCTGTTCGTGATAAAAACTCTACAAATTAGGTATAGAAGGAAAGTATCTTAATACAATAAATGTTATATATGACAAACTCACAGCTAACATCATATGGAATGGGGAAAATCTTTCAGCTTTTGAGAACTGGAATAAGACAATGATGCCCACTCTCACCACTTTTATTCAACATAGTACTGGAAGTCCTAGCCAAAGCAATTAGGCAAGAGAAAAAAATAAAAGGCATCCAAACTGGAAAGGAGAGAGTCAAATTATCCCTGTTTGCAGAGGACATGATTTTATATACAGAAATACTTGACTCTACCAAAAATCTGTTAGAACTAACAAATGAGTTGTTATTTTCTAGAATAAAAAATAAACTAAAAACAAATCAGTACTGTTTCTATACACTAACAACAAACTATCTGAAAAAGAAATCAAGAAAACAATCTCATTTACAATAACTACAGAAAAATAAAATACTCAGGAAAAAATTTAACCAAAGAGGAGAAAGGTCTTTACACTGAAAACAAACATTGATTAAAGAAACTGAAGACATAAATAAGTGGAAAGATACCCTATGTGAATGGAAGAATCAATATTGTTAAAATGTCAATGTAATTCTTATTAAAATTCCAATGACTTTGGTTACAGAAATAGAACCAACAATTCTATTATCCCTGTTTGCAGAGGACATGATTTTATATAGAGAGAGAAACCTAAAGATTCTACTAAAAAACTCCTAGACCCAATACACAAATTCAGTAAAGTGACAGGATACAAAATCAACATAGAAAAATCAGTATCATTTCTATATGCCAAAAATGAGCTAGCAGAAAAAGAAATCAATAAAGCAATCCTATTTACAATAGCAGTAACAAAAAAAATAAAATACCTAGGAGTAAATTTAACCAGGGAGGTGGAAGGTCTCTACAGGAAAAACTATAAAACTCTGATTAAAGAAATTAAAGATGACACACACAAAAAGGAAAAATATCTTATGCTCATGGATTGAAAGGACCAATATTGCTAGAATGACTGTACTACCCAAAGTGACCTACAGATTTAACGCAATCCCCATCAAACTAGCAATGACATACTTCACAGAAATAGAAAAAAATCCAAAAATTTATGTGGAACAACAAAAGACTCTGAATAGCTAAGGGAATCCTGAGAAAAAAGAACAAAGTGGAAGGCATTACACTCCCTGACTTCAAATTATACTNGGAATCCTGAGAAAAAAGAACAAAGTGGAAGGCATTACACTCCCTGACTTCAAATTATACTACAGAGCTATAATAATCAAAACAGCATGGTACCAGCACAAAAACATACACATAAACCAATGGAACAAAATAGAGAATCCAGAAATAAATCCATGGACTTAAAGCCACCTGATTTTTGATAAAGGAGACAAGAACATATGCTGGGAAAAGACAGTCTCTTCAATAAATGGTTCTGGGAAAACCAGAGATTCATATGCAGAAGAATGAAGTTTGACTTCTATCTCTCACCTCATACCAAATCAACTCAAAATGGATTAAGGACTTGAATATAAGACCCTAAACAATAAAACCTCTTGAATAAAACATAGGGGAAATGCCTCAGGACATAGGACTGGGCAAAAATTTTATGACTAAGACCTGAAAAGCATAGGCAACGAAAGCAAAAATATTTAAATGGGATTGTATCAAAATGAAAAGCTTCTGCACAGCAAAGGAAAAAACCAACAGAGAGAAGAGACAACCCTGCAGAATGGGAGAAAATATTTGCAAACTACACATCCAACAAGAGATTAATACCCAGAATATACAAAGAATTCAAACAATATGATAGTAAAAAAATTTAAAAATGGGCAAATGATCTGAATAGACATTCCTCAAAAGAAGACATACAAATGGCCAACAGGTATATGAAAAAAAGGCTCATGATCACTAATCATCAGAGAAATGAAATCAAAACTACAATGTGATATTATCTAATCCCAGTTAGATTGGCTATTATGAAAAAGACTGAAAATAATAAATGTTGGTTAGGATGTACAGAAAGAACTTCTGTGCATTGTTGGTGGGAATGTAAGTTAGTATAGCCATTATGGAAAACACTGTGGGGGTTTCTCAAACAATTACAGATGGAACTACCATACCAGCAAGCCCACTACTGAGTATACATCCAAAGTAAAGGAAATCTACATGTCGAAGGGATACCTGCACTCCAATGTTTATTGCAGATCTATTCATAATTGCTAAGACTTAGAACCCACTGAAACGTCTATCAATGGATGATTGGATAAAGAAAATGTGGTATATATACATGGCGTAATACAACTCAGCCATAAAAAAAAATGAAATTCTGCCATTTGTAGCAACATGGATGAGCTTGGAGAAAATTATGTTA